CACATGCAGGTATAAATCCAGACCCACCCACACATGCACATGAACACACCTGTAGGCTACATCTACTCAAACATGCAAATCTAAAACAAGCACAGCAAAGAGGAAGTGCACAGAGAGGCAGGAGTCCAGAACCAACAAACACTTTCAGGTGGCTTATTCTGTCCAAGTGAGTAAAACCCTTTGGTTTTAGGATTAGTTTTATTTTGTCCCTTCAGCATCATTCCTTATTTATTTACTTAAAAGTTCTTTCCTTTAGAAAACCCATTATTTTATCATTACATCATAACTGAGAGCCGCTCCTTTAAACACTAAGTGGCCCATATCAGAAATGATCAGTAGTTCCTCGCTACTTTGTGGTTCGACTTTTTCAGACTTGCTCTTTCGCCATTTTTCAACGATTGTCAACTTTAATATTACTCACGTGATTGAGACGGTTCCAATAAAAAGTTAACCAAAAAAAAAAAAAACTTGGGACAGGTGCTGCCATTTTGTAGTCGTCTTTCAGTAAGCCTTTAATGTATCACCAGTCCAAAAGAACCACATTACCCAGAAGACAACAGTGCTTCTGGCCACTGTCTTCTGCTGAAATGGAGGGAAAGTTTTGATCTGATCCGAACCGGATTCAAAAAGTTTGGTCCTTATTCATAAGTGACTTCGGCGCTCAGTGGATGCAGAGAGCCGATCAGAACCGGACCAGGACTACTTCCAGCCTCATCGGTCAATCTGAGTGCTGGCTGCCGGTCCATGAAGCCTTTCGATCAGGCATTGCTTGGAGGTCCGGTGCCTTCTCCAGAGCTCACCCGGATTTTTTCATCCGGATTCCTCTGGATTATATGGACTTGATGGGGACCATAGTGAACGTAATGCCCGCAATAATCGAGGGATTACTGTACATTCAAGAATCCCATGCAGTGTAGAAAAAAAAAGCTGTAAAAAGTTTCTAAAAATGGTCAAAAAAACAAAAAAAACAATGGTCATTTTGTTTTATTACACATTTAACTACTTTGTCTTTTTCAGAATGTTTTCTTAAAATAATTAGTTAAAAATGATATGAAGCAGCAACATACAAGGTATTTGTATTTTTACATCCGTTTTTATAACCGTTGCTCCGGCTCATAGTTTGAGCAGTGAATGCTTGTGCTGTTTGGCTTTAAAGCAATACTTCTATTTCTTTTTATCTTGTTTTTAGAAGGAATAAAAAACATCTCACCTGTTGTAGATACATCTTTGAACAACCTCTGTTCCAAACAACAGGGTGGATTTCTCACCAAGTCCCCGTTTACATGGACACAGCCACTAGAAACGTGGAGTTTTTTGGATGTTTGTTCGGGGACAAAAATCCTTGTTTACATGGACCACATTCTGTGTTCACATGGAACCGCAGAAATCCCCCGACTCTGCTGTGGGTGCCATGCTAGGTCTTTAGCTGGCCCTCTGAATTTTGCACCTCCTGTGCACACGTGCTGGCACTTGAGCCCTGTGTGTAGAATATAATTATTTATTTGGAGTGGAAAGCAGCAGAAAAATATTCAAGTGGACTGATGGTGGAATGAGTCCCTGAGGCTCAATGGGATCAACCTGTATAAATAAAGGTTGAATGAATAACAATGATAGTTTATTGCTTACTGTAATACAGAAAGCAGCATGTTATACACCAGCACCATTGTTGTTGATAGAAGTCTGCCGATTGGCCGTGCATGCGTAAAATATACACCTGTAGGGCGCATGTAACACTTCACACTTGTGCAGCATTTCACACCTCCACAGGGTGTTCCCTTGAAAATCTCCACTCAGACCTGGATTCAGAAACCTTCAGTTTCAGAGAACGAGGGCTGTTGTCGTGTAAATGGGACCTCAGTGACGCCAACAGCTGGTTTGAGTGAGGGAAGTGGATTAGTCGTCCTAAACGCCAATCTTGAAAACGTTAAAGAAATTATGAAATCACCATTTTATAATCTTTACATTAAAAAGTCATTTGTGCATTATGCATTTTTCTTTAACACTTCTTTGGTTATTTGCAAGTATTCATTCAAGCTTTATTTATACAGGTTAGTCCCATTGAGTCTCGGGGACTCATTTACAAGAGAGACCTCAAGTATAAATTGCAGTAACAGCTAGCTGTAGCATTTCCAGCGCAGGCTGGACCATTTCTGGTAGCGATAGATACATAATATTTCTGACAGAATGACTGCTCAATGAAAAAAAAAAAAAAAAAATATATATATATATATATATATATATATATAGGCGGTAGGGTTGCACAGTGCTGCCTCCCCTCTCAGCAAGCAGGTCAAACAGCCTCGGCCCTGGAACAAACCCCGACCGGGGGGCTCTCTGGGTGGAGTTTGCATGTTCTCTCTGTGCATGCGTGGGTTTTCCTCGGGTACTCCGGTTTCCTCCCACAGACCAAAAACATGCATGTTAGGTTGATGGTAACTCTGAATTGTCCCTAGGTGAGAGAATGAATGGTTGTTTGTCTCCGTGTGTCCCTGTGATGGACTGGAGACCTGACCAGGGAGTCCCCGGCCTCTTGCACAGTGACAGCTAGACATGGGCACCAGTGACTCCCACGACCCGAAAAGGAAGAAGTGGGTAACGATAATGGATCGATGGATATTGATTAATAGGGTGTGATAATAAAAACAGGACGTGACTGCTCCTTATTTCATCCAAAACTCTGAACAAACTGGAGTCAAATTTATTTATTTGGCCTCCAGTATTTTTTCCCTCAACTAAATGTAACATTTGTTAGAAAAAGAAAAAAAAAGAAAAATTTAGGTCACTGAATAAAAAAAAAAAGTTTAATATTAATAATAAAATAAAAGCTAATCTGTGATAAACAAGGGACAGAACAAAGTTGTGACTAACAAGGAAGGAAAGAAAGACAGACAGACAGAAATAAATAAATAAAAAAAACAGCCCAAGACGACAGTTTTCCATATTGGAGTGCAAAACGTCAAATACTGAGTCAGTGTTGGTGGTAAGGCTGGAGCCACGGAAAATCCTTGGATTCCTCTGTAAAAATAAGCAGCTCCGCTGTTTGTTCATTCTTCTGCTGCGTTCTGGATTTAAAATGACTGAATCACAGACTGCAGGGAGCGGCTGGTGGTTTACTGCACAAAGTGTTTACAAGAGAGTGACAAGTAAAGAAAAATTATAAACCATGACTACAAAAAAAGTTGGTACAAAAAAAAAAGAATATAAATAAACTGTGACAGACGATGTATTCATCTTCAGAGCTGCGGAAACAGGAAGAAAAAAAAAAAAGACTCGATCACATCATTAAATTACTTAAGACAATTTAATAGTTCAGTGTAACAAACAAACAAACAACTTTGTGCATTAATCTGTTTGCAAAAAGCAATCTGAAAAAATAAAACAATAAAAATAATCATAAAAAGTCAAATAGAACAAAACCGCTTTAAAAAAAAAACGTTACTGAAAGAAAGGAATGACTCGAATCAGGAAACAAATATTCCAGCTATATTTAAATAATCCCATCATCAAACTTCCAGCATTTGGTCAAAACAATCACCTGGTGCAGTTTACCTGAACAAGCAATAAAACAGCTCTTTAGACGTGTATTTGTGCAGGCGCAGCATTAACCGTTAATCTGTGAGTATTCTCAGTATACAAGTGCTGCACTTAAAGCCTTTCAAGGAGCTCAAGTGCCACTTTTTCAGAAAATAAAAATGTATTTATAAGAGATGCTAAATAGGCGCTGTAATCGCATAAGAAGCACTGAGGGGTTTTGCAGCGGGAGCTAAAGTCCACATTCTGAGTCAGGCAGGGTGATGGAATCAGGCTGGGTTTGCATAGAAGGAGCATGACGCCACCTCGGAGGCTTCCCGTCAGCTTTAACACCACAACATCATGGCTACATGGCTGCTGAGGCCAGACATTCAGACTATCTGCTGTTCAGTGGAAGAGTGGGTGAACATCCACGCACACACAAACTGACAAGTGAGCACACACGCTTGTCTCAGCAGTTTCTGGGCTGTTTTCCAGTGAGTTACATTCTTCGCAGAAAATCTAAAACGGTATCCTTTCTGACAGCCTGGCTGGTATCGTAATTATAGAGGGCAACCCACACACGCAAAAACTCAAGAAATACATAACATTTTGTGCACCCAAAGCTAAATATAGGCAGCTCTTACACAGAAACACACAGGCATGTAAACTACTCAGGCTACAGTATGTTTGCATGAAAACACCCGTTAGGAAAGAAAAGTTGTTTTGGTTTCCATCCAACTCGACTTTCAGGATGAGCTTATTACAGTAATTATGTTCAGGAATGAAAGTAAGTTTTCCAGATATAATTGCAGAGGAGTGATAACATAACTTACACAAGTTTATGTAAATCATCCATCAATTAAAAAAAACCCCACAACTAACATGCATGGAAACTGTAAAACCCAGATGTTGTGCGGTGTTCATAAAGTCCAGCCACATGCCTGCTCCATCTCAACTACACCTGGACAACACCTTTAAGTGAAATGATAAGGCTGATCATCTATTAGTTGGCACTTTTCCCTCCATTAATTATCACAGTGACATACAGTATCTCAAATAATCACAAAGCAAAACGTTTCATCAATAAAAATATTCATATTTAATCATAAACAAGAAGAAAAAAAAAACTAAGTGGAGCATCCAGAAAGCGTTTTCTGTGGAATGTGCCCATCGTTCCTGTGGTAACTGTGGGAATGATCGCAGGGGAGAAAAAGCTGCTGCTCTTTGTGAGGAAGTCTTTGGACTCGAGATGACCTTTGACAAGTGAGGGGAAACTTGAACATGAGGAATAAAACGTGAATTTTGTTGGTGCAAACGCTAAAGAAGCTAAACCTTCCTGATGGTAAACGTTTTAGATGAAAGATCAGGCTCTGCTTCACCTCATGAACACAGGACAAAATAAAGAAAGTTAGATTTGTTAGTTTGGAAAAAGAGATTTAAATCTCTGATTTTGGCCTCTGGATCATTTCATGTGTGTGGATGAAAGCCTAGTTGGAGCGAGAGGCGGCAGCATCCAGTAACTCCTCTAAGGATTCGGCTCCTTCCAGTTTCAGCTCCTCCTTCTGAGTCTTTGCCTTTTTGGCGGGGATTTTACTGGACAAAGGTGCATCTTCCTGCATCAGCTCTTGGGCCAGGATGTTGGTCACTGCTTGACCAGCTCGCCGGTGGTTGGCTTAGAAAGACACAAACAAAAAAAAAACACACAAACAAGAAACACAAATAAATAAGTAAAAAGACCACAAGAAACCAGCCCATTCAGACAAATACAAACACATCTGACTTTGGAGGGATTCATAAAAAGTCTTTGGGACAAACATTACACACCTGAACTGATTTATTCAACATTTTTCACAGATGATTTAAGCATCAGTTAGTTACCACTGGCCACGAGGTTGAACACACTTATAATTAGAGAAAATGCATTTACTGTGAAAATGCAGTGCTTAATAATGACTATGCTGAAGAATTTGCTGAAAAACAGCTGAAATTGGCTAAAAACACACTGAAATGTAGCTGAAATAAAGAACAAGCCTATGTTAGAAGAAGAAAGCAGAAAAAACACATATGTGCCAAATTAAAGTTGAAAAAGTAGAAATGAGCACAAAAATTAGTTAATTAGCTTTTTAAAAAGTCTGAAATAAGCAAAAACTAGCTGAAAACTAGCTGAAAAATCAGAAAGAAGCCTAAATTATTACCAGGATGTGGAGAGAGCACAATTGTGCCCAATTTGGCTGAAAGAAGCAGAAATGAGCACAAAAAAGTGGAAATTATCTGGAAAAAGCTGAAATGAGCAAAAATGGCTGAAAACTAGCTAAAAAAAAGTAGAAATAAGCTTAAATTATCAGAAGGACGTGCAGAGAGTATATTTTTGCTGAATTAGACAGAAAAAAAGCTAAAGTTAGCATAAAACAGATAAATAGTAGCTGAAATAGCAGTAAAAGTAGAAACTTGAAGATCAGCTGAAATGAACATGGCAAGGTGAAATCAGCAGAAATAAGTTAGAAGAAGCACAAAAATGTAGTTAGCAGAAAGAATCTGAAAGGAGCACAAAACAGACAAAAACAGTGGAAATTAGCTGAAAGTAGTTAAAGTTTAAATTTGCACACAGAAGCTGAAAGAAGCTGAACCAGAACAAAATGTGAAAGGAGCCGTAAAAGGTTGCAGACAGATCTAAAGATTTGAAGGATGTAAAATGAGCTCAATTCATTTTCTATGAGGAAAAAAAATGTCAGAAAAGGCTAAATATTTCAAAAAGCAAAAGTTGCACCAATACCAAAAGTCATAGCACCCTTCTCCTGAATGAGCTGAACGTTTTGATGTATGATTTGATGACACAGTACAAAACTGTGGAACGAGAAAGATGCCGAAAAATATATGGAAGAAAAAAGGATCACAATAGTGTGAATGCTTCTTAAACATTCACACAACAAGCACAAACAAAAACTAACAAGTTTATGTCTCTTGTTTACAATGAAGCAAACAACAGTTGTTTTCTCCCCTACCAACACAGCTGCAAGTGAACTGTCGAATGTGTGCTCACGCATTAGGCTCATATCTAGAACAACTTGCTACTGATGTCAGATTAGCATGTATGTGATGCTTACGGCTGCAACAAAAACAAAACGTAGACAGAAAGTAGGACAGAAGAGGGAGAGGTAAAATAAAGTGGAACTGGTTAGTTAAAGGAACACGAATGGTGTGGGAAAAAGGAAGCAGCAACACAGAGGGTTAGACATCATGCAGAGCAGGATGATTCACACCGTGGGAAGATTAAAGACGGAGGGATGAATGAAACTGCGACAAACATGGATGGATAGACCGAGTCAGAGGAGGCGTAAGCCCAGGAGAAATACGATAGGGGACAGAAATAAGTGGTAAAAATTACACCGCATGGTGTGTGACGGATCGAGCCCTGGGGATGCTGGCGTTCTGATTATTCTACCTGCTTACTCCTGCACAACTCCACACAGCAACCTTATCACTCGTTCCCTCCACTTCTCCTTTACCGCTCCTTACTCTCCCTGTGTATACAGCGGCAGCCATTTTGAGCTATATAGGTCAGTAGGAGATTGCATTTGCAGTTATTTTATGGCAGATGTAGATTTGGAGCTCGTTGCTCCTCTTGCAAACAAACGCATGAAACAGGACACGTTTGCTAAGAAAAATGAGATCAGTCCAGTGATGGAACAAAAAAAAAAAAAAAGACATGCAAACAAACCACGGGAACACAACAACACACCAAGGCTTGCATGGTTCTAACGTGCCAGTATCACACAAACACACACAGATATTACCGAGCAGGTCTCCAGAACTAGTTGTGACAGAGACACAATTGAGTCTACAGAAAAGAGGAGAAAATAAACATTTGTGCATTAAGGACCAGCTGATGTATAACATACAGCAAACTGCACGAACACGTCATCTATTTTGGTCCCTCTCAACCCTCGTTCTCATAAACTTGCTAATTAGAAATTATGCAAATGACCTAAAAAGCAGAAGTGTGTGTGTGTGTGTGTGAGCAGTGCAGCGCCTGTCCTACAAATTTAAACCCGGTGAGAAAATCTCTTCAAAAGGCTGTCGAGGCAAAAATCGAGCTTCTCTCATCTTCCTCCACTTCCTTCAAGAGAGAAAACAGGGAGGAGGATCAGAAGAACTAGTCTGGGAACGAGATAGATTTAGACAAACCTGAAAATTAGAGATGGAATACACAGTTTTTTTTTCCATGTAAAATAACATTAACTAGTTTTGGGTTTTGATCTGACACAGCGAGGACTTAACCTTATTACAGATATTGTCATCACGAGGACATGTGACGGGGTTTCTTAATATCAAACGTTAAAAACCTACAACTTCTTTAGTGAGGCCTCCTGCCCACACAGAGGTGTCTTCATTGCTGCTGTGATTAAACAACGTTGAACAGATTTGTGTTTTGTTGCTGTGGTACTATCCCAGGGACGTACAACAGTTTAAATTTATTTTGTGACTCTGAAAGCAACTGTCTAAAGGCTGACAGAATATTGCTACTGGTGAAATTTAACACCAGCAGCTTTAGAGTTTGTCCCCAGCTTGGCACGAAAAGTGTGAATGTCTCATTCTCAGCTGCGTCAGTAATTACGTTTTTTCTCTGCGTTTCTTGTGAACTTTGCAAAAACACTGAACAGAAAACACTCAGCATGTGCCATCACAAACAGGAAGATTATACAATCAAAAGATCAGATTTGGACTAAACGATCCATGCAGCTGGCATAAAGCCACGCGGCTGCAGACCTGGTTGGGGCAGACAACAAATACTCTCGTCGGTGTGTTTACTACACTGTAGGGTCATGAGTGGCACAGAGAACTTTGTGAAAAGCTCATCTGTAACACATTACACTGCAGGAGATTAAAGTTATGACTACCTGATGAGGGAAAGTACAGCTTTGCTGCACAACAACATCCACCTATCAAAAACTGTGAAATATGTATGTTTATGACAAAAATCAGCTGTATAGTGTTTAGTATAACAGAATCTGTAACAAACACCATCACATGACTGGTAATGATGGGGGGAACAACACAGGCTGCAGATGCAGTGTTTTGAACTTAGCAGGGGATCAGAGCGCCCTCTTCAGGCTGCAGCGAGCAACACACTGCTCTACTTTAGAGTACTGTGGGAAAAAGTGATGTCATTCAGCACCACCTCTGGTGGGAAAGTATTGATGTGAAAGTGCTGATTATTGGTTACTGGTGCACATGGACCGTCTCGATGTTGTTACGACATCGCCAGTGTTTCAGTTATAAACTGACCGATGAGCGCTCTCCTACTGTGCATCTGCACGAGTTGTGAACATCTGTGAAAGCATGTGTTCAGAGCTCAAAGTGTTTCTGTTTCTTTCTCTAAGAGCAGACTGTAGAGCCAGCGTGTGCCTCTATTGTTGCTATCCTCTTTATCTCCGTCTCCCTGAGGTGATTGGTCAGCAAGCTGCTTTCTGTTATTGGTTGTTGCAGCCAGGGTCATGACCCAGCAGATGGGTCTATAAACAAGTCATTCTTCTAGTTAAATTGCTCCTGAATCATAAAGTGTTTTAAATTTATTAAAATAAAATAAAATAAAAGCTAGCTTATCCTGAGGTAACAATCTAAGGCTGATGGGAATAGTTTGATAGTTTTGTTCGAAAGCTTCTGTCCTCTGGAATGTGTTTAGCTTCATATGCAAACATCCATGTGCCTTTTGTATTGGCATGTGAGCATCTGGCGTGTGTGTTTTATCTTTGTGTGCTTAAAAGGGGTGTAGACAGACGGAGGGTAGGCAGCTGCAGACCCCCACATTCTATAAAACAATCAGACACACACAGCGCGGGCTGAGGTACAGGTCAAAGGTGACGGGGTGGATGGCTTCAACAGCCTCGTGGCAAACTATTCAGTCACACTGCTGTGACACAACGAGCATGACGACACACTCAACAGGTCTTTGAAATCAGTCGTGATGTTTGCAGTCACTGCAGCTGTGAGGAGTGTGTGTGTGTGTGTGTGTGTGTGTGTGGGGGGGGGGGGGCTCTTTGTATAACAACAGAGAAATTAAGTTTTTTATTAGGAAAATGAACAAAAGGAGTGTGATTGTTGAGTGCTGAAAATAGCAACAACTAAAATAAATACTACTAATAATGATAATAATGAAAAGCTATGTAATAGTAGCAAAACAGAAGTTAAGAGCCAAAAGTAACAAAAGAACTGAAAAGATCAGCATTTTTCGACAGTGAAAATATTTCTAAGTTAATTCCAAAAAGTATAAAAGTTAAAAAAAGCAAACCTATCTGAGAATGAGCTGAACATTTTGGATATGAATGGCTAAAATTGCTTATTGTGTTGCAAAAAAAAAAAAAAAACTGCACCTCAATAATATCAATGTTGAATCAACATTCATCCAATTATACACACAAGTTAAAATCTCTACAGAGTAAAACATTAAAATAAAATAAAAAAAACTGTAATTTATACATTTAAAAAGTATGCATTACACATTGCTCATGGAAAAAAGGGGCCCATTAAGAACTAGTCACATATTAACATTGTAATATCTGCTGTCTGACATGCTCAACATTAAAGCAATAGTTTAAAGTTTATTAAAGCCAACATGAGATGTTTTGACTCTATTCTTCTGCATTATTTTAATTTGTAAATGCTATGCTCATGTTTTCTGTACAAATATAAATCTAACTAAATTTTATAAGCAGAATTGTATTTACCCTAAACGTAAACATAATTAGACAAAGAATTATCTGATTTCTTAAATGAAATAAAAAATTGAAGTTGCTTCAGTTAATTTTTTTGAAAACTATGAAAGAGTGAATACAATAATCCACCAGGCAGCTAAAACTCTACTTCTCACAGATCATTCAAATGAATTGTTAAGTGTTTTGAGACACATTATGAGACATCAATAATTACATTGTACATCAAGCACTTTTAAAATGAGCCATTAGCTGCAGGGAAAAGTAATTAGAAATGTGTAAGAGCACATCATCAACTGGTGTCAGTGGCCTCAAGGCAAGGGCTGCTCGTCATGAGGGTGGAAAGCATGAAAAACCACATCAAGTCAAAATAATTCCCTTATGAGCTGTCAAAGCCTCAGATGTCTCAAAAATCATTCCATCTTTTACATCATATTCAAAACTAATTAAAGCAACTATTCCTGAGCTAATCTTTGACAAATTCTACACTTGCTACACTGAAACTTGGCTTCATGTAATAATCACATTGTCAACATGTTCATGAATGCTTTGACCCACAGTTAGAGCTGCCTGTGGCCCCAAAAATATATCAACTGAGCCAGAGTTGAGATCTGCCTCCTCCTACTTCAGCTCTACTAAAAAGGACCTCTGACTCAACTAGGCAATAAAACTTGCCAAACACACACACACACACGACACACTCTTGTGTGTGGGTGAAAGCCTGTAGGCCCCGTGCAAATGCAAAAAGCAGTGCAGATGAAACATTTAAATACTTTAAATAAGCACAAATAACAACATATAAACTTCACAAACACTGAAAATCAACCGCAGCTGCACACCGTGCAAAACAGTGTTGGAAATCCCTGAACTTTGGCAAACGAAACATAAATGACAGTGGGGTAAAAGAGAAGACATTTAGCAGGGATGTGATATATAGCAGCAGCCACTCATATTTTCCAAGCCTTTCCTACCACACTGGTATGTGTAGCAAAGGAACACTCGTTCTCCCCATTTCTCTCCGTTCTGATCAGGTATTTCCTGTTAGGAGCGTGAGGTGGCCAAACACTATTATGGATGACTGAGTGAACCCTAGAGAGGGCCCCATTCTTTCTTTCCTGCTCTCTCTTCTCCTTTCAGCTACCCCCCCCCCCCCCCCACCACACACACATACACACACCCCTGCCCTGTCTCACTGTGGTCCCAGTTAGTTTAACAGTGATGAGCCAGAGCTGTTTGTTAGTTAGGAAAGTTTTCTGCACTCAGTATTTTCTAAATGAGACTTGGGGTTTAACTAAAGGCCAGTAAATCAGTTTTACTGCCATTACATAATGCACAAGATTGTGAAATATATTTAGAACTAAATGATAATTTAAAGAGAAAAGAAAGAAAGACACAAGGAGAAGATTAGACTAAACAAAGCAGTGCAGTCCACCCTCTGGCTCTGTGCTATTCCATTCTGGAGCCACGCTGCACATCTGGCTTCTATTGGAGGAGGGATTGGGTTGCACACTCCTCCACTGCCTTTTTTATGAGCAAATGCAGAACACACACACACAACGTGCATGTGAATAGACATGCACAGTCTCCCCTACTTCATCTGTAACAGTTATTGGGCACTGAACACTTCCCTGCTCACACATTTTCTAAAAACAGGAATCATGTTACACTGTTCTTATTCTCGCTTTCATTTACTGCGGCTTAAAACGGAGTGATCCCACTCAAAACGTGTGACATGTACAAGAGTGGAAAAACAGAAAATGAAAATCCACAAGCCTTCAGACAGTAAACAAAGTCTGATGGTGGACCAGCCAGTGAGCAGTTAATTAAATGTATGAGCATAAATATAAAAAGAACTGATAAAAGTTTACGACTTGAAAAAGTGATTTGAATCTCAATAAATGTAAACAAGAAGTGTAGGAATGTTACTCAAACGACTTTTTTTCAGTTTATTTGGAGGCTATAGCGATGACTTTTGTTAGAAACAGTTCTCTTTAAAGAATGTTGGGTTAAAACATATTTCACAATTCATTCTAGACGTGTTTGAACAATATCAAAATCTTTGAATAAAGTCTTGTGGATCTTTTCTACATAATAATAAAAAAAAACTATAAAAGAAAATTGGAAAATGGATCATTTTTACAGTAAATGTTTAATTGAATGTAAATATCCAAGACCATAAAAACAAATGTGAAGCTTTCTTCAGTATGTTGCAGGGAACTGGCTCTTTTGTTGGTCAGCTCAGTAAAATGAAGGCTTATTCGCACAGAAAACTGTAAATGGAAACTTATTCTTCAATGCAGCATTCTCAAGAGAGACACTTTTTTATTTGAGCTTTTCACCACGTTTTATGCTTTTCCTTTCTTTTTTCTGCTCACATGCTGGTTTACTCTCCTCAGCTTCAAATTCTTTCAATACTTTCCTATTCTGGCACCACACCCTAATCAGTTGCTCCACTCAGTAACCCACTGTCCACACCCACTTGTGGCACCCTCTCTTTTCTTCTGTTGTTGTGCCAGCCTGTAATGGCCTCCGCTTCACTCCCTGTAACTAGAAGCCCCAGAATAACACCAGAAGCTCACAGCTTCTGAGGCATGCAACAGAGACAAGGAACATAAACACATATGATGTTGAATGTTGACAAACTGAGTAAATCAAAGGAAAAGAAAAGCAACTTTCAGGTAGTCTTTGTTTTTGTCTACACGTCTATGCGAGAGGAAACTGAAATCTTTACAGCGAGACCTCCGTGTTTTGTGATGTTTATAGCCCTGGTTGAGTACGAGTACCTGCTTGTCTGGGTCCTCTCTTTCTCCTGAAAGCAGCGCCGGACTGCAGTGCCTCCAACAGTCCATCCATGATGCCAGTCTCATCACCCTCTGTTACAAAAAGATAAAACATAATGTCAGCCATGCATCAACAAACAATGAAATGTATATTTGTAGCACACACACACACACACCCTGCCCACTGTCACAACCTTCTCATCATAACTCTGAACCACCTGGCATCAGTTATTTTATTTTACAGTAACAGGGAGATTGGTACAAAACTACCTTGTTATTTTTGTTTCTGATCTGCCAACTCATACATAGGAAACAGGGATATTTACCAAACATATGGCTACTTTCCAAATTAGAAGCATTAACCCAGATAGGCAGTGACCCAGTTAAGCTTTCACCACTGCTTTACAGGCTGCACAGTGGACTTTGATGAAGTTGTAAAATACACCCTTGTCGAAAAGATTAACCATCAAGTCAAATCCACTTCAATGTAAACATGTAATTGTGGCTCACTTCTAAATGGGCACTGACTGGCGATGGACCTATGGTTACTGTATCTTTGCTGGTACAGTGTTTTTAGGTCGTGCCAGTGTTTGTTTACACCCTGACTCCCTGCAAAGACTGGCCATAAACAGGAAAAAAGTTGTTCCAAGCCGAGTGGGGCGCCCACTCTCAGTACTGTGTGTGCATGCGTGAGTGGGCTGCGACTCAACTCAACCCTGGGGCAAATGGTTTTAAAGATCTCTCCTTGAAGCTGAATAGAGACAGAGAGGTTCGGAAATGGGGCAGGAGAGCTGGGGGTTAAAGGTTTATATCATCACCTTCCCAACCCCCTAACACAGAGCACATGTCCTGCTTCACACACACATACACACACACACACACACACACACAGAATATTTAATCCTGCAGTAAGCCATGCAGCAGATGGTCTGTGGTCTGCCTGTCATGTCTGTGAAAGTCTCCCTCGCACCCTGTCTAAGCCTTTTACAGCTCGTAAACACCCCTTAGTGTCCAAACACTAGAACTACAGAAACAGGCCAGGATGATGGGCCTCACTTCTCTTCTGGGGAAACACATCTGGCCACAAACACTAATCACATGGTTCACTTGAAGGACTTGTTGAAGCACTTGTGAACATGTTTTGGAGACGGTGCAGACACCAAACAAGGAACTGGCTGTGTAGTAAACACACTTTTTATTGTCTGAGTGAACACACGGATAAAATGGAGAAGTCTTGGGGCTATTTTTATCCAGACAGTTGCACATACAGATCTGGAGCGTTTTGTTTTTCTCCCTCAGGTGTGGCTGACAACATCTCTGCTAAATAAAACCTTTCAGGAGCCATCCTTTACACAAAATAATTTTGTTTTGTTAGAAAGTAAGAACAGGGTGTTTGTGAGAAAAAAAAAACTTTTCAAAGTCACTTGCTGTAGATCATGTGCTACTTGTTGATTTGTATTAATGATTAACAGCACAGCAGTTTTCAAATTTAAACTGTCTTAAACTGTGGTGGGCAAATCAGCTTAAGGACAATTATTTAAGTGAGCAAAAACATAAAAAAGTACAATTCACACCCACACAAACAGAAGACAGCAAATTAGTGCTTATGGCAACTAAGATAAGATGGCTTAACAAGTGCAATCACATTAGATAAATAGCTTTTAAAGTTGTCTCACTGGATCTGATCTACAACACTATGCACACAAAATTCCCTGAGGAACATACGGTGGTGCTTGAAAGTTTGTGAATCCTTTAGAATTTTCCATATTTCTGCATGAATATGACCTAAAACATCATCAGATGTTCATACAAGTCCTAAAAGTAGATAAAGAGAACCCAGCTAAACAAATCAGACAAGTGAGAAAAATGATCCAATATCACATATTTGTGAGTGGTAAAAGTATGTGAACCTCTAGGATTAGCAGTTAATTTGAAGGTGAGGTTAGAGTCAGGTGTTTCCAATCAATGGGATGATGATCAGGTGTGAGTGGACACCATGTTTGATTTAAAGAACATGGATCTATCAAAGTCTGCTCTTCACAACATGTTTGTGGAAGTGTATCGTGGCACGAACAACGGAGATTTCTGAGGACTTCAGCAAAAAGAGTTGTTGATGCTCATCAGGTTGGAAAATGTTACAAAACCATGTGTGAAGAGTTTGGACTCCACAAATCCACAATCAGACAGATTGTGTACAAATGGAGGAAGTTCCAATACCATTGTTACCCTCCCCAGGAGTGGTTGACAAACAAAGATCACTCCAAGGCATGTAATAGTCAGCGAGGTCACAAAGAACCCCAGGGCAACTTGTAACAACTGAAGGTCTCTCACACATTGACTAAAGTTAATGTTCATGAGTCCACCATCAGGAGAACACTGAACAACAATGGTGTGCATGGCAGGGTTGCAAGGAGAAAGCCACTGCTCTCCAAAAATAACATTACTGCTCGTCTGCAGTTTACTAAAGATCATGTGGATAAGACAGAAGACTGCTGGAAGAATGTTTTGTGGACGGATGAGACCAAAATAGAACTTTCTGGTTTAAAGGAAAAATGTTATGTTTAGAGAAAGGAAATAATGCATTCCTGTATAAGAACCTTGTCCCATCTGTGAAACAATGCAGTGGTAGTATCATGGTTTGGACTTGTTTTGCTGCATCTGGGCCAGGACAGCTTGTCATCACTGATGGAAAAATGAATTATGAATTATATCAGAGAATTCTAAAGGAAAATGTCAGAACATCTGTCCATGATCTGAATCTCAGGAGAAGGTGGGTCATGCAGCATGACCCTGAGCACACAAGTCACACCAGATACTGAAAGCAAAGGTGCACATACTTTTACCATTTACAAACATATTGGATAATTTTCCTCAATATAAACAAACAAGTTTTTGTCTAATTTGTTTAGCTTGGTTCTCTTCATCTACTTTTAGGATTTGTATGAAAATCTGATGATGTTTTAAGTCGTATTTATGCAGAATTATAGAACATTCTAAAGGTTTCACAAACTTTCAACCACCTCTGTAAATACACACCTAAATCACATAAATCCTACATGGAGCAATAGCACCTCTAGAGGTTGTTAACACAATAATATATAAAAGTATGTCAAGGATTTAGGGAAACCAAACAATATATACATATAAAATGTAAATATATAAAAAAAACCAGTGCTAAGAACATGAAGTTTAATTATCTAATGTAATAAAACCTTGTGTGCCTTCTTTACAGTAACCTGATGTGACATCAGGGAAACTAGGTTGATTCTCTTTCACCCGGTCATAAACCTGTTTCTTTCCTCTCCTCGTCTAACCCTCTTTTCCATGAGGCAACAACACAGCCTAATCCACCGCTGAGCATCTGCTGCCCTACTCTCCTCCATCCCCTCCTCCACATTATTCTCTCACAAGAACTCTTTGAGTGGAGCACGAGCACTCTTAGCGGTGGTTCCCATACCAGCATCTGAATGAGTTCAAACCACACATGTACACACCCTCTTACTCAGACTGAGGACACACAGCCTTACTGACTTTTTTTACAGACACTACTGACACCTAGCTGCACAAACAAGGTACAGGGATGTCAGATTTCATTAGAGGAAATGTCTCACTTAAGGGACAGAAGCTGAATGTGAACTAGTCGGTGTGGTGATGCCTAAATATCAATGAGCACATGACTAAATAAGCGAAAAATGCAATTAGTCCTTCAAAGATTTTCACAAGAATGAGCCATTCAAAGCAACTCATGGTAACTCATCACATGCCTAAAACACAATGAGCCTTCACAGAGCAAAGCTGTCTGACTCACACAGGAATGACAAGGCCACAAGCTGCAAACACACAGAGACTTCCCAGGGTTTACCAAACACAACATCTGATGAACAAACTGATACAAAAATTCACTGAACTGACAACATAGTAATGGTCTGTGAGCAAAAGTGAAAATAAAAATGAACCTCTGGGATTTTAATATGCATAAACAGCAGCTGCTGACAACAAACTTTTGTTTAACAACATTTCAGGATATGGGTAATAAACAAATGCAAAACAAAGACTTGGTGTGTGGTTGGATTCAAATAAGGGGTGTTGAATGACTCCTGGCTGCAGGGACAGTCAAATGTGCCACCTGTATGTAAACGACACGTGCATGCTTATCTTTGAAGCTCTATTATGTTCCTTCTGCACATGCCTCCAGAGACTGAACATGCAATTTTTATCATGTTACCTTCTGCTACAAAGGCCACATACTTTTAACACAGACACAGAACATCTGGAGTGGTACCTCAGAGTTATTTATGTGTTGTTTTTTTTTTTTTTATGGATGAGAGAAAAAAAAACTGAAGGGGAAGTAAAGAAAGGATTAAAAACAAGAGAAGAGATGCCAGCTGGAACATGGATCAGTAAAAACATTTTGTTATGGTTTTAGAAAATGTGAACATTACCTGAAAAAAGTTTCTCCAGCAAATGGACTAAACCAACCAGAACCAGTGATAAGACAAATAATTCATCTATTCCACATACACACAAAGCTGTGAACAAACTTTACTGTGGGACAGCAGAGTCTCTGGAGAACCCAAGTGGAGCCAGAGAAAAAAGGAGGCATGCATGAAAAGTAGGTCAGAGACGGAATGAAGGGGAAAATGTTTGTGCATGAAAGTGTGTCTGCAAAAGAGGATTTGACTGCTGACTGTGTGCATGTGGGCAGAGGAGAGTGGTTTGGATTTGTGTTAGATGGGACAATATGCTCCAAGCATTTTGCAGTGTAACATAAATACTAGATAAGTAGAAATATGTATTAGCCGATACCTATTAGAAGTGTATGGACTTTCTCCCCAGTTCTTGTATGCAAATAAATAAATAAAGCCCAACTTTCAGAAGCATGAAAGGAGTTCAGGCTGTTTCTTATGTATATCCTTCTTTTCCTCACTTTATGAGAAGCTTCAGTAATGGAAGCTTACTTCAGAACAAGTCATTAACATAAGATAAACTCTGGTCTTTAAATACTGATGTGTGTAAATACTGATGTTCACACTCACACACAAAACACATTACAGAGAAGTGTGGACTCTGACTGCCCCCAACTGGCGTGTGGAAGAAATGCAAAGTGACAGATGTGGAGTATGTTTATCTTTTTCAGTCATACACAGGGCTACAAACTAAAACAAAAACAATCATCCAGAAATTATGACCTCCAGTGATGTCAAGAAGTTGGTTTCTTTTCAGTTTCTCCTCTTTCTCCTTTTCTGCCTTTTCTCTCGCCAGTTTGGCCCTCTTGATCTTCTCTTCAGATTCCTTCCTCTTCTGATTCTCTTGTACAGCTTGCTGCAAAAAAAAAGAAAAACAAAGAAGAATACTAAATATAAGCCTGCAAGTAAAAATTTTAAGAAGTTGGTTGGAAATAATGAAGATTAAAGTCATGCTTTAAGAAAAACAAGCATATATTTGAGGAATCAGATTGATGTCTGGGTGTGCAAACTAAACTTTTAACAGCAAGTACAGGCGGTTGTGCTTTGCAACAGGTAAAACAAGTTAACTTCCTTGAGCTCACATTTACTGTTGACATGGTGTATTAAGCTGAACAGTCACTTGTTGTTTTATCAATACAAACAGCAGGTGTTCGACCACCTGTTTTGTGTCATTGTTGTTTGTTCTTTATCTTACATCTACCACACCTTCCCTGATCATTTTATGTTTAAATGTAAACACAAAAGACTGAAAACGTAAATAGTTCTGAATTTGTGTGTCCTTAAAACACCAGCGCCCACCTGGAACATGTTTTTAAAGTTGCTCAGGTCTCCAAAGAATTCCTCCACTGAGATTTTCCTTGGGTCAAAGACAAAATATTCTCCCAGATCGGTGTATTGTTTCTCCATGCTCTTGTGCATCAAATCCAGCTTCTCGTACTGTTCTCGAGCAACACTTACAAAACTGTGCAGGCATACTGTTAAGGTGCAAAGAGCCCATATCTGTTCATTTTAAACACGACACGTTAATTAGTCAAAGACAAAATACTGGTGTGTATAGGCAGCTGAATTAAAGGATATAGACATCTTTTCCACAAAGAGGTCATTTTCATTTTGTGGAGGGGGAAAGGTTTCCAGATCTTTCTCCAGGTTCTTGATTTGACGGCCCATCAGCTCGAGATTCTTCTGAATTGTTTCTGCAGAAACTGTCATAAACAAGAAAAATGTTAACACCGGAAAACAGCGTGGAAGATGGACAAGACATTACACATGAAAACAGCCAACAAAAGATACTATTAAACTGTGTAGCGATTACTGCTCGAGCTTCTACCTTAACCAGTTTCGGACAGAACCGATTTATAAAAAAATAAAAGTTTGCAGATAGACAGAAAAAGAGAGAGAGACCAAAAAAACTTTGACCAGATGTAACGGACAGAAAATACCATGTACGAATAATGATTTACAAACAAATGTTCATTTACCTCTGCTGGCCTTTTCCACATGAATAAGCTCGTCAGGAAAGCTCATGACATCGGGATGCTGCTCCTGGCACACGTCGGCAAGAAAATGGAGCAGGGTTTGCTTCAGGTCCGCTGATTTGGTGTCACGTAACTGATGGAAAAAATAAAATAAAATTACAAAACGACATACTGAAAAGATAGTCAAAACTTGTCAAAGACCAGACTTTGAACATCTTTCTAAAGTTTGACAACAATTGTTGTGCTCATCATTTTAATGGCTTTTAATGGGTGATTGACATGTTTATTACATTCCAGCTGGATTATTATGATCCTCTGTATCTTTGTGTTAGCCAGGCCGACCTCTCATGACTGCAGTTCGTTCAGACTGCTGCAGCTCATCTTTTAACACAAAGGAAGCGTAAACAAATCTATCTCAATTCCCTTCACTGCCTCTCTGCTCGTTTAAGAATTTATTTAAAAATGTTATTGTTGTTGCCTTTAATAGGCAGTCTTGTATTTTTATCTGACCTTTTGCTGCCCTATGCGCCCTCCTAATCCCTTAGAACCAATGATTGTTTGCCGTTAGTTTTCCTGAGAGTTAAGCTCTTCCACAGAGGTGATTGGCCCTTTTCAGCTGTAGCTCCTCAACTGTGGAACCAGCTGCCCCTTCATATCAGACAAGCTTGAACTCTTGGTAGTTTTACGTCTGGGCCTAAAACACATTTTGTACTCACTGGTTTTAAATACAACATGAGTTGACATTTTTCCAAAAATGTAATGGTTTAGTTTTATATCTTATTATAGGTTTATTGATGTGATTTTTGTTGCTTTTTATGGCATTGGGTTTGGTCTTATTTATTTTTGTTACTATTTATTGTTTTGTGTGCAGCACTGGCCAGTCATGGTCATTTTTAAAGGTGCTATATAAATAAATTAATGTAATGCCAGATTATAAAATGTTGCAAACTACATCACACCATGGTTGATGCATTAGCTCTGTGTGGAGCCGTTTCAATGATAAAGATATTGTGAAATTAAATGCAATGTAAGTCATACCCAACACTTGGAAGTGTATGAGGAAAATATTTTTATAGAGATGTATCTAATTAGAGAGGTAAGCAGATATGAAATGCACAAAATGAACTGTAAAGACAGAGCAACTTTGGCTTTTGTGAAACATTAGGTTATAAATCAGGCTTTACAACTGAGAAATCAAAATGCTAGCAGTGGCTGTTAAAAGTTTCTGTGACTTCATTGCAATAAGAAAGACATTTTCACTTTAATATGTATCATGCCATTACTCCATATGCCTACACCAATGCCTATTCAGCACTCTTGTTAAGGTTTGTTTGTGCATCACATTTTTACACTTCACCTTGCACAGGTAAGAGACGGAAAAGCCGAACGCTTTCCCATTCCTGGAGCCAGAATTCATATAGTTCCCAACAAGAAGGATGATTTGCAGCAGCCTGGCAAAGCTTTCACTTTTCCTGAGCTCCTCACAGGCTGCTACCACAGAAACAACATCTGGCTTGATGTTGTTCAGCTGCTCCTCAAACTGCAGCTTGAACAGGATGGCCTGAAGTCGCGGCATCAGTCGCTTCACGCTAGACATCTGGAGAAACAAGAGAGTGAGGGGAATTTTAAGGTCTTTCCTGTCATGGCTTATTGTCACAGTGTAGAGGCAAAGTTGTGAATGAGTAAAGGGGATTTCACCCTTAACTCAGATTTCCATACTTGAACAGTATCAGCTTTGTTTCTCAACAGCATGATACAGTGTGCCTAAAATATTGGCTGTACGGAAATATTTCCACATTTTCTACACATCATTCAGTGGAAGATACTGTGTGCGTCTTGTTTGGGGTTTGTCATCCCTAGCTAGCCTAAGTAAAAATAAATAAATAAATAAATCTAAAAATATTTTACTGGCCTTGTTACAAAGGACAAACGTAGTGAAATAACTGACCCAAATGATGTTTTACAAACAGGTGTGAGCTTCTTTCATTGCTTTATGTCTTGTAAAAAGAAAACATCTGTTGTTTATTCCATAAGTGATTTTTGCCATTAGGTATTTCTCGTACTGGGTACCTACATACTTTTACTAAACACTACTGTCCATCTTTTGAGAAATGTTTTGGGGCTTGTGTGCGTGTTTGTTTTCTCACCACTACTCCAAACTGTTCAGACTCAGCCAGATCTTCGTATTCATCCTTCATCTCTGCCAGGATAGCCAGTTGATCTGGTGCTGGAAGCTGTTTGACCAGGTTCTGTGTGGGATTGAAAATAATTCATATTTGCACAAGTCCAAAGCTGCTGGTGAAGATTTTCAGTCATCCGGGACATGCTAAATCCAAACAAAATTAAAAGCAAAAACAACCAGACTTCTGTTCTGCAGCTGAAGACGTTTTGCTTCTCATCCGAGGAGCTTTCTCACTTCAAAGAAACAGGGAGAGTTGGATTCAAGTTATAAAGCTGAGGTGTTCCGTCTGTAAACTTGCATATTGCAGCTTGACACATGCAAATTGCCCTCTCCCTCTTCAAAATAGAGAATCGTTAGGGTCTTTGCTAGTCTGACTCACAGAGGGGCCACTATATCTGTATTTTGTATTTATGTAAAGCACTTTGTGATTTTATCAATGAAAAGTGCTATATAAATAAAGTTGACTTACTTACACTATGGTCCCATGAATAAATGTCTTGATTGGTGTGAAACTGACTGGGTATCAGGCCTAAAGTTGCATTATAGATTTTTGAAAGCCAGAATCTGAGACCTCCTCCTCTGTTTAAATATGGTTTCTCTCGTTTTACATGAATGGCTTCCTTCATCTCCTATCAAATCATTTGTTTTCTTGGTCTAAAATGTGAACATTCAGATCTACAAAAGAGTGTCCCTTATCCTTGAGGTGTAGGTGGGTCGCTGACTCTTGTCTTAAAGAGCTGCCTCTCCTATGATGAGCCATGTGTCTGTGAAGAGGCTGTTTGGTTTCTCCAATATAGAGATCTGGATATTCTTCTCTGCACTGGACTGCATATAGCACACCACTCCATTTGTGTTTGGGTGTTTTGTCCTTGGGGTGGACCAGCCTCTGTCTGAGAGTCCTGTTGGGTTTGAAATGTACTGGGATGAGCTGGACTGAGAAGCTCAGTCCTCACCTCCTTCTACAGGTGTGCAGTGGAGAGCATCCTGTGCTCCAGCATCAATGTGTGGCATGGAGGCTGCACAGCTGCAGAAAGAAAAGCTTTGCAGAGAGTGGTGAAGGCTGCACAGAAGTCTGTTGGAGTCAGCCTCCCCACCATCACAGACATCTACACCTCTAGATGCAAGAAGAGGGCCACCTACATCATGAAGGACCCCACTCACCCAGCACACAATTTTTGCCCCGCTCCCCTGAGGCAGGAGGTTGAGGAGCATTAGGTGCAGAACCACTAGACTGAGGAACAGCTTCTACCCTGAGGTTGTCAAGACTCATGCAGCTTTAATCAGGATAATCACTGTGAAAAAAATCACATCATGCTGCTGTGTATTCATTAGTACTTATCTGCTCATACGGACTCATGTTCGTGCTGCTGTTCAGCGTGTTGTTTTTATACTACTAGTGATTGGAGTATTTTTAGTTAACGTTTTCTTAGTTCATATCTTAGATCTTATTACTGTTTTTCTTTTACATTTTATACTTTTCTTGGATGTAACTGGGACCCTGTGTACACGGTTTCATTCCACCACATGTACCACATGTGGTGGAATGACAAAACCTTGGATCCTTGACCAACAAAGTCCATGCTCAATAATCCAGGTATACAATCCAAAAATTTTCAGTCAGGCCATCTGGACAGTTTTGAACCAGTTTGACATGATTGTCGACGAGGGGGAGGGCCGGCACAGGAGGAGGGGACGTGCCAAAGAGACCATCTTAGCACCGAAATAACTGGTTTGTTCCACTTTGGAGTAAGCTGTTAGGGAAAGAATCAGTTTTGTGTTGTGCGTTTCCTTGACTGATGAAGCCTTCTGGATGGAAGGTGAAATGTTTAAGCACAAAAAATAAAATAAGCTGTCCAGATGACCTGACTGAAAATTGTTGGCTTGGACCCTTGAATTTTCCTGGTTAGGGATTTACAAGTCTAACAGTTCACTTAGAATATAAACAAGTTTGGAGAGTCCAAAGCTATCCCTCCATATATGGTCCATACAAAACAAAGATTGAATGACCTGTAAAATGTCTTCAGATTATTTCTAAAGCTGAGTAACTAAATGCATATTACCGGTAACTAAATGCATTTAGTTTACTCTAAATGCAGACAAAACAGATTTATTATAAAATAGGTTAACACATATATAAATGCACATTGAGGCTTTTAATTTAACATTAAAATAGGTTTGAATTAAGTACCTGAACCATGGACTCTGTGAGAATCTTCTCATCGACTTGCAGGATGGCGTTCTTAATCTGTTCATATGGGAGGCGAAACGACCCCAGGAAAATGGCTACATGAGGAAAATACAATTAACAACAGGCCTCACTTCAAAATGTATTTTTGTAAACAGCTTTAGTAAATTAATCCAAAACATAAACAATACTGTTAGGTGGACTTACAGAGGTTCTGAGAAGACTTAGCATCAAGAACCTTCAGCTCCTTCACCTTCTTCTTTTGCACTTGCTTTTTCTCATCTCCCCCATCCTGCTCTTTTTTAGCTAAAGAAAAAGACAGAAGGAAAAAGGGATGGAATTTTATTATATTTTTCAATACTTGTCTAATGCATGGGGCACGTGAATACAAATAATGTTAGAAAGTCAGCAGTGAGAGCGATGAGCATTGTAATATGAAAAAAAGTGGATCAGAACAATGGAAAGAGGGCCTATGTGATGCAAATAAAAACTGACAGACTTGGCACAGCCTTTTTTCTCACTCTCCTCCAACTGTATAATGTTGAGAAGGTGTTGGATTTTTCTTTCAGCAGCCTTGGGTAAAACTGAACTAACATAAAATGCCTGTAAAACTGGGGGCAATGTATGATGTCTGGTGAGCTTGGGCTTTTGGAATTAAGGCCAAGAATTTGTTAACTCAAGGGCATTAAAACAGCATTCTAGCTATGCACACACACACAGAGACACACACAAACTGGAAAGAAATATTTTAGATGAATTTGCTCTGACAAGGTCAGGATTGTGACTAAGGATGTGTCAAATTGTGGGGGTGGATGCGAACAAGATGAGAATTAGGAGTGAAAGATGAGCAGTCACATAGGATTGACCATATAACAGCTTGATATATCGAGGCACATCAGGTCTAAGGTCAGCAGAAGTCAGGACGTCACATCTGTTCTGTCTCCTGTCAGCATTATTCAGTACCCCCAGATTACCTGGAGGTCATGATTAAATAATAAATGTCAATTCCAAACCTGACAAATCTTCTAAATGACTTCAGTATGGGCATAAAAAGCCAATCTCAGCCATCCTTTTGAACAATGATAAAATTCTGACCTCTTACTTTGACCCCAGTCTCTGATTTAAGTTTTATCTTACAGTGGGACATTATCAGCCTCTTTACAACCTTGCTTTTCTCTTATCTTTGTAAAAACAAAACAAAAAAAAAGAAAGACAAACGTAAAACAAAAACTGTTTGAATGGAAACCAACATCAATGTAGATGCGTGTGGCACAACTGAACATTTTTGGTAAAAACCTTTCTGCGATTTAAAGTATGAAGGAACTTGAAGGAATGCTGAATGTCATGCCAGAGTTTTAAACAAAGGTTATAATGTGTTGAGAAGGAAGGGAGTTGCAGCCATGTTGGTCAAAACTTAACTTCAAACTGTATGCAGATTTCTTCAGATGTGTTGTACCTCTGAGTGTGTGGGTATAACTCTTCAGACTATAAAACATAGTTTGAGCTCCATATTTGCAAATCTGACCAACTTACAATAATTTACCTGTTTGCCAAAGTCAATTATCTGTGGCTGGAATCTTGGATTAGTGTGACTCCAAAAGTAAGTGAGTTGCAGATAGGGATGGGCGATATGGCTCAAATATAATATTGTGATATTTCAAAGCATTCTGGCGATAAC